TTATTTCAACAGTAACATCACAGTAGCTTTATATACGATAAACTTTTTTAATGTCTGATTTTATCATTCGTTCCATCACGCAAGCGTGACACACGGCGAGTCCCGAACGTCCGCTAATTTACAAAAATTGGCTATTTCGTGTAGGTTGTTCGCGCATCAACTGAGGAATGAAGAGATGGAGGCAATCTTGCTAACGTTATGTGTATACAATGTGTACGTATTTTTCCACACATCCGACTTTTAGAGACGATCAGTACGAACCTAACGTCGCGAATATTATTCGGATTCTCGTACATGCCCGGAAGTATGTAGTTTAAAAAGAAACGCGCGCGATCATCGATCTTGCATTTCAGTTTCACGCGAGAATGCGAGATATCTGCGAGTACATGTATGTATAGAACGGGGACACGTCTGGATCTACGAGAATGCGGAAGACAGGAATCCGAATGATATTGCTGACTCGCCATCAAGCACTGTATGTACGTGTTCGAGCATTTTGCGAACAAACGAAACGACGATTGTAAGAGACGAATATATTACATTGTATTAGATATCTAATATAATCTCGAGTTTGTCGAAGTATTCGGACCCTCTTGCGATCATATTAAAATACCGATTCGGCCTCTATAGGTATTATTATATCTTACCTCGAATGATAAACGCTTTTAATACCGATCGTAAAACGCATGTGATGAAATTTTTTTCTCCTCGTTCCTGTTTCAACTTTTTTCATTACTTTTTGTACCTATCACACGCATAAAACACATATTGTTATATACATATACACGCATACATAAAACACACGCATACCGAATCATTATCAGTGTCTGTTGATTGTATTCGTGTTCCCGCAGACACAACGAGAGTATCCGGGTACTTGAGAAACACTTGATGAACATTAGGCGAGGACTCGGATACCCCGAGAACGCTATTTTTACCGGAGCTGTAAACTTGTAAGTATTACAATTAAATGAAACCAACAAATACACGCACACGAAACTAGAATAAAAATGCAATGTACCGTGGTTGGAGAATTAAAATAAAGGAGTAAGAAAAAATGAAGTGGTACGAACTAATTATTGTTGATTGACTTTCCTCATTTGAGTCCGACTTCTTTTCAGTCTGAATAAACCTTAGGGTAAGGGAATATGCGCCGATTATATTTTTACATACTTTTAACAGATTCGTAAACCGTTTTCTGAGTATCTCTTCGCGCACCCGAGCACTCGATTAATTTTCATTCGATTCAGCGTGTACACTTCGCGATCATCGTAAGTAGATGTAGAAATTCGCAGGTAGATTAACAACAACAATAACAACAACAATGACAATGAGAGTCCGAGATCGACAATAAATGGTCGGCGAAAGTGAACAGCACAGTGGGCCTTTTAATAACAGTGGTTAGCGTTAGAACGATGATAATGAAAACATTAATAGGTGACGGAAATGTTTAACCCTTATGCACTCTTATAACAAATTTCAAAATTTTCAAAACTTTTACCATTTTTCCAACATAAAATCCCTACTATACAAAGAATCAGAAAAGTCTTATTACTTTCAAATGAACGTCTACAAAATTGATATGTCTAAAGTGTGATATCGGGAACAGTCTTTATTCCGTTTATGTCGGTTTCATTGCGGGAAAAATTATCGAGTGCAAAGGGTTAAAAGGTAATCCCGCTCTCGAGAACATCGCGATGCAATCTTTATCGCGAAATTCTTGGTATAAGCGTTGCACCGTTTACAAACACAACCGTTGTGCGTTGTTTACGCGCTTCGAATCGAATTCCATAGAATTTGGAATTCGGAATGCGATATTCGATACTCGCCGGAATCCGCCCACGTGGCGGTCGTGGTATCTTCGTCAACGTTAAATTTCTCGTCTCCTTTGTGTTGCATTAGTCGTGCATGTGTATGTGTACGTGTTGGTGTTACATGTGCGCGTGGGCGTGTGTACGTCATATATATATATATATATATAAGTATATATAGTTTCATTCATACGCTTTTTGGCTAAGGTAACTTTTCCTTTCTTGTTCACAATCTCTGTTACACCCTCTCATTTTTATATGATTGCGATTGAACAGTAGTCGGCAATGGCTGGACAGAATCATTTTCGATGAAAATATTTTTTTGCTATTCTTTTCCTCTTGAATCTGTCAGCTAGTAGATATTCCTTGCCGTTTGCCATTCATATTTTTCTCGCAATTCAATCCAAAATGAAGTTCTCTCTGTAAGTTTGTACTTGTACTTGGTGTAATACAAAACAAAGACGGCCGCACGAACTCAATCTTTGTATGTATTCGCGAATCTATACTTACGTTACGTTGAAAAAATTACGCAGATGATTGTGATAAACGGGCTTACCGGTATTCGTCGAATAAGCCGATACAGCGGACCGATCAATTACAAGTCAACCATACATTGAACACCTACACAATGATTTAGCAGAGTGTCGAGCTACGCGTGGTCCACGATTGCTTTTTATTCCCACTTTTTAACATGTAATTATGATTCTAATATTCGAACCAACCAGGGTTTCAATTAATCCTCCTGTTAGGAATTATCATTTTTATTGTGGACACCGCGTACCGTGGATAATCTGCTGTTCGCGCTTGCGAATATGAACGACAACGTGAGAACATAGCGATGAGAAGTTTGGACGTTGATCTACATCACTTCGAGCGTTGGATAATCGCGAAATTCCGTGACACGTTATCTGCAGAACGAATTCTTTAATCCCAGTATAGGAACACCCTACGTCGTAAGCAACGAAGCCCGTCGCTTATTTTATCCTAAAACATCGAATAGAACACGCGCAGTGTTTCGACGAGATCGACCAGCGATGCACTGCAAACATTGTATAAGTATAATATCTTGCGTGTATCGCCCAGCGATGAGAATCACATAGTTCCAGCAATAACCATTATGAAATATATATGTAACCTTTAGCTTTCCAGTTATTAGACAGAATTAACGTAGTTTAGCAGATAACGTATCAATGTCGATGTTCGCGATCACAATCGGGACAATCGTATATTAAACAGTGACGCGATAGATCATCGTCCGCAGTACTCGAGACGGTTCCTTTACAAACGTTCACGTTTACATCAACACGTGTGTGTTACATATATATGCATATATATCTGTTCATCTTTCGGCTTGTTTTAACGACTGCACACACGTTCGCAAACAGTTAATTAGCTTAATTTTATCAACCAACTCTGGTGTCTCAAGAATCTGCTCGTACGCAATTTGTACCTTCACGGTATATTTTTTTCTTTTGTTCTACAATTCTGTAAAAATATTACAACGAGCCCCCTCCTCTTTGTGTCTATCAAGATCATTCTATTCTCGTTCACGGTTATGCCTTCTAACGGTCGGCAATTTTTACAAACGACTAGCCCCGGTGCTTTCGTTTCGCCTGCGAGACGACGCGAGGGAAAGATGATCTACTTTCGTTCAGGCTGAACAATAAGACACTTAACATTTGACGGATTCCCGCACCCGGAAATCGAAGAGTACTTTTCCTTCCTTCTTTTTACTTGGAACCTGAAATTTTCTTCTTTTACGCTTTCTTAAGCGATTACGTGTGTGGCGAACAGAATACACGCGAGAGAGGGAAATCGCACCGAGTCGACGATGCGACGGTCGTGTAAAAAATATCTGTTCTTCGTGGATTCTTCGAGGGATTGCCTTGAAATTACCTACGATCATTTCATACGATTCTTCTCGATGAGACTACTCTTTGTACCAAGTTTCTTGGATACTGTCGATTCGCTCCGTGATCGCTTTCACTTCGTACCGACGCTCAAGTCCTGTGAAATACTTAGCGTTGATGGAACGACCGCAGGTGATTTGAGAGTAACACCTTCGAAACGAGCTGTGTCGAGGACAATCGAGAAGCGAGAGCGGTAAGCGAAACGGGACAGAGTCAGGGGGACGAACGTGTATCGCCCAGCGATGAGAATCACATAGTTCCAGCAATAACCATTATGAAATATATATGTAACCTTTAGCTTTCCAGTTATTAGACAGAATTAACGTAGTTTAGCAGATAACGTATCAATGTCGATGTTCGCGATCACAATCGGGACAATCGTATATTAAACAGTGACGCGATAGATCATCGTCCGCAGTACTCGAGACGGTTCCTTTACAAACGTTCACGTTTACATCAACACGTGTGTGTTACATATATATGCATATATATCTGTTCATCTTTCGGCTTGTTTTAACGACTGCACACACGTTCGCAAACAGTTAATTAGCTTAATTTTATCAACCAACTCTGGTGTCTCAAGAATCTGCTCGTACGCAATTTGTACCTTCACGGTATATTTTTTTCTTTTGTTCTACAATTCTGTAAAAATATTACAACGAGCCCCCTCCTCTTTGTGTCTATCAAGATCATTCTATTCTCGTTCACGGTTATGCCTTCTAACGGTCGGCAATTTTTACAAACGACTAGCCCCGGTGCTTTCGTTTCGCCTGCGAGACGACGCGAGGGAAAGATGATCTACTTTCGTTCAGGCTGAACAATAAGACACTTAACATTTGACGGATTCCCGCACCCGGAAATCGAAGAGTACTTTTCCTTCCTTCTTTTTACTTGGAACCTGAAATTTTCTTCTTTTACGCTTTCTTAAGCGATTACGTGTGTGGCGAACAGAATACACGCGAGAGAGGGAAATCGCACCGAGTCGACGATGCGACGGTCGTGTAAAAAATATCTGTTCTTCGTGGATTCTTCGAGGGATTGCCTTGAAATTACCTACGATCATTTCATACGATTCTTCTCGATGAGACTACTCTTTGTACCAAGTTTCTTGGATACTGTCGATTCGCTCCGTGATCGCTTTCACTTCGTACCGACGCTCAAGTCCTGTGAAATACTTAGCGTTGATGGAACGACCGCAGGTGATTTGAGAGTAACACCTTCGAAACGAGCTGTGTCGAGGACAATCGAGAAGCGAGAGCGGTAAGCGAAACGGGACAGAGTCAGGGGGACGAAAATCAGATTATTCTGCGTGTACCACCGGAATCACGCGTTTGCTTCTTCCCTTATTTTTCATCTTTTTTTTTTTCATTTTTTGCTTTAATATTGTGAAAATGCAGTCGATGAAACTCGGGAGCCAGGCCAGGCGAACTTATCGAACGATCTGGATCATTGTTGTGAAAGAATCATCTTTTCATTCTGTACCGTGTCGGGATTTAAAATTTCATCGATCTGTACACAAGTAGAATGGGGAAATTACTTTGCCATAAGTCCTATGATCTTTAAAAAAGGATTTTTTTTTCTCTATCTTTTATATAATTATTCTTGTATATCTCTCCAGCCTGTTCCCGTGAATTTTAGAATATCTGCCTTAGAATATATATATTGAAGATACAAAAACTACGATAGAAAACAGAACAGACTTCGAATTTATTTTTTGTTTCAGTTTTTTTTATCTTCTTTGATGTAACTTCGTTTAATATTTCACACTCAACATCAACGCCTTATTTATACCTCGTTATTATTACTATTACGTGTTACTCTTATTATTTTTCTTACATCGTTACGTCTATTAAATATTTATTATTATCATTTTATATATTAGTTTCATTCATATACGTACATATATACACATACATTTATGTATGCATACGTATAATCAAATTCACACGAGTTTACCGCGAATAGTTTAACCGTAATTTATCGTATTATCAGTAGCGATTTCTTTCTTCGATTTTTTATTCGTTTTCTCGTATTTTTTTGCGGTAAAGATTGTCATGGTGGGCATTCGCATTGCCGTCAAATTTCTTCAATCTCGATCGTAACCCATCGTTCATTCATTCCATCGACGAATCGGTTATCCACCTTCCTTTATTTTCTTCCCCGACAGATTGCCGATAGTAGCTACCAGTGGCCGAGTCACTTTCAATATCGTTCGCCTTTCTTATCATGTTTTCCTTCATTTTATTTCTCGAACAATATGAAATTTGTGCATTTTGTTTACTCGCTCGATTGATAGAACCTGCAAGCCTGGTATTTCGTTCAAAGCTTCCCGACCGATTCATTTTCTTTCACTCTCTCATCGAAATTCATTGCTTCCCTGTTAATTACTCGACGAAAACAATCATTCGTTTTATTTTTATTTCGTGCCTCATGTTCTCACTTATTACATTCCATTCTTTTCCTAGGACATAAGAATTATTTTTTTTTAATAAAAAAAACTATCCTGTACTTAATCTTGAATCCAATCCTCTCGAACACGAATCTCTTATGCTATCTTGGCAAATGAATCATATTCTGTTTCATCGATTTCCTAAAATCGTCTCATTTACAATCGCTATTCCTTCCTTATTGGATTTTCAGTCAATCTTTTAATAAAATCTTTTGCGGAAGAGGCAGCGTGAAGAATTTTTCTGAGGAAATCATCATGCCACGATCTTGGCTTGAATATCCTTCGACGATACTTCAATGAAGGATCAATTCTGCGCGTAGCTGGCGAAATTCACGACTTATTAACTCGCTCTTATTTTTCGCTGGAGGTACGCGTTATTCCATCCATTTTTGCAAAAAGGGCCTTGGTACACTATTCACGATAATGTAAAATCCTTTACAGTCCGCAATCGAAACTTTCTTGATTTTGCACTTTCTCTTGGTAAGCTTCTAAATAGCTGTCGACGTTCCTGTAAATACCAGAATTCGCCTGGTGCATCAGGGTCTCGAGGATCCTCTCGTTCCTGATCGCTTTCGTTGGTAAAACAATCTGCAAAACGTATTTAAAAAATTGTACAATAAATATTGTGTTACTTTAATTTTCGTTTCATGTACAAAACATTTTCCATACAGTAGATATGCAATTAAATCGGAAGCTTACCCTGATGAGTTCATGCGGAGTTATCCTGTGCAATTTCAAATCCTTGCTGAACCTATCCATGATTAATTTGAACTCTTTTTTCGGGTCCATCTTGCTTGACTTCCGGTCTTTGATCCTATTTTGCGCCCATTTGTACATCGCCTGGAACTTCTTGATCTCGCCCACCTCGAGACCCCGGCCCATGATCATCTGGACCATCGACTCGCTCAGCATCAAAAAGTCAGTACTTTCGAACAACTGATAGGCTCTGGTTTCAATGAAAGCCATGATCATGTTGACCAACTCCGAGGCAGACGTATAACGCCAGCAGTAGTTTTCCAATGCGCACAGCATCACGCACACGACCTCGATCCGGAGGAACTGCTTCGCATGATGGAAGCACGCCTGCAAAAGCTCGGGTAAATCGTAGTGCTCCGCGGCGCAGATAAGACCCGGAATGTTGCTACAAGTCAGTGGACAGGACCCAGTTTGTAGATAGTTCAGTAGGATCTTGAACGTCTTCGGATCGAATTCGATGATGTCGAACTACGTGAAGAATAGAAGCATATGATTGAAAATATCTGTTTCGTATTATATGTGATGTATAAATAAATTTACCTCCGTTTGTTCCAATTTCGTTCTGTCAACTTTCTGCGCATCGGCACAAACGCTCAGCCTCGGCACTGCCGATGGTAGAACAACCTTATCCTTCTCCTTTGCTTCTTTATCTAAAATCAAAATGATTCACTTAGCCGATGTGTACAAGGAAGCCCATTGTTCAAGAAGTACTGAACGTACTGCTGCAATCCTGCGAACTGGCCCAGCGTTTCTTGTCCTCGGTTTGCAACGAGTTTCCGCCACCGTGTTTCCTGATGCTGCGTCCCCAGCCAGCCGTGATTGTACCAAGCCTCGAGAACGCTCTCTTGACCATCGGCGACGAGGGCACGCTTTTAGGTCTAAACAAGTCAGAGCCAGTATCTCACAGAAACCGCAGAGCGGCACCTCGGGTTACGGAGAGGAAATTCTTCACAGAGCAAGCTTAGGGTGAAGAGACAGAAAACGGGAAAGGACAACAGGTGGACCATTGGGAGATCGAAGACACCGGGAAGGTAGGTTTAGTTACGTTCTGAACGCATCGATATTAATAATCGGAATGACGAACAAGTAGTACACGAGACAACGACGAAACGACAGCTCGTAATCCCTCGTTCGCAAACTCGAGAAAATGAAATCGTGCGTGCTGTATATAGACAGAGAACGGACAAAATTCAGAGCTCACGATTACAGATTACTCGATAAAGAATTGTCTCGTGATATACATTGAATATATATATATATATGCTTTGTTTGCATGCCGATAGCTCAATCGACAAATTGTTCAAGAGAAAATGATGTTCCACAATTTATAGACATATACTAGCAAAAGACATATAATATAGGTAGAGAGAAGTAAAGGTCGACATGTCGATTTTAATCGAAGTAGAGTCTTTGGTTTACGATGCTTTCTTCTGTTCTGTCATCTTTTATTCTCGACTGATTTTAAATAGTAAAACATGCTACACAAGTAGTCATTCAGAAAACAAGAAAATAGTAAAGGAGACATCGGAACTCGTATACTTTAGATATAAAACGTAACGTAAGTCGCATTGCAAATTGCATTGATTTAGACACGAAAGAGATCTTTGTCACACAATAAAATATTGATATCATATTCACATGCGGTGCTGTGTATGTGTGTGTGTTTCGTGAGGATAGGAGACATGGAAGTGCCGTAAGAAATACACATATTTACGATTAAATGTATGAAATACATATGTATATAATATAGTATGTATAGATTTATATAGAATATAGTAGACATTCGACAACGACACCAAAGGTAAGCTAAATCTCACCGTCATTTCTGGCCATTTTTTAAATTGCTAAATAAGTCCAGTTATATCCACTACGCGTCATCTTACCGCGCCTTTTGTTAAACTCGATGTTAAAATTTTATAAAGAAAATAACAATGCGAGAATTCGTTTCATTTCTTGTTTCAGTGCAAACTGGACTTTTGAAAAGAAAAATGCACGATTCTGGTTAGTAGGAATTATTTGTAGGACACGAACCTTGGACTCTCCACGTCAGGAACTTGAAGAAAGTTGGAACTCCGCGGTTTCTGAGGACTCACCAGAGTAGGTGCTGGCCTGGCAAGTAGTTCGGCCACCGGCACTTGAGGACTCCCGAAACCCGTTTGAATTCCGTACAGCATCTCTTGGAACACTCTGAAAAAAAACATACGATTCAGCAGATTTTGCTAATTCATATAAAGAGATGAATCGCTTAATTAATTACCTGCTTCTAACAGCTAATATCGCTCTGACTCCGAAGAATCGAACTTTCTGCTTCTGCGGGCCGTGTACCAAGAATGAGATGTCGAACAGATTCGAGTTTAACGTTGCATTTTCTTGATTATTTAAGAATACTCTGGTGAAGTCCTTGGCAAGTTGGTCGTAATCCTCGAATTGATCACGAACTGAGTCCAAAAGCGGAGAACATGGTCTCATATGACCGATTGGTCTCCAAGAGCCACGTCTAAAAGAATTAATTTATCATTTATCCAATTTTCTCGATCGATCAATGTTTTAAATATAATTTCTCACCTATATGGTTTCGGTATTTGTCCGGTCTCAGCGTGATTAGCCAAATTAGCCACGATATCCTCCAGCATTTGAGTTCTCGTTCTCTCTTGCATCTTCGCGAACTTCGGTGCAGAGTAACTCGCTCTTTCCCCGTTGACAATCTTTGTCAGTAACCACTCACGGAACATCGGTCCTGTTTCAAGAAAGTTTTATCGTTCGTAAACTCTCTTAAAAATACAATTTTAACATTGACTTGGAGATGAGACGTGGTTGACCGAATTACCTTTCTTGAAGACATTTTGTTCCCACAGGTATGGCTTGTAAGCCCCGACCTCGTCCCTCGTAGCCACTGACACCTCATATCTGGTAACTTTCCTTTTTATTCGTGGACTGACTCTGACCAGAATGAACGTGTAAAGAAAATGCGACTTCATGCAGGCGGGATTAAACGGCGTATTGTCCGCCTCCAGGAACACGACGCACACTATGTCATTACCGATGTGCCGTTTTTTTTGCACCTGGAAAACAAAATTAAAAGCTCCTACACTGTGCTTTATGAAAGTTCAATCAAGCTGAAAATTCAATTTTTGTTTCAAATAAATATCTAATATTGTTGAGGAAATATTGAAGTAGTTTAATATAAATAAAGGACTTATACTTTACTCTTTGCACATCGTGTTTCTCGTTAGGAAGGAACGTGGAGACGTGGTACATGATCTCGATCCCCCGCCAGTTCGTGTACACTGAGTACAGACCAGTGAGATCGTGAATCGTGTCCAAGCCGCCCTTGTACTTGTCGAAACCCTTCAGGCGTATCTTGTCGCCGAGAATTTGCAGAAACTCATCGAACAGCGGCGAGTTCTCGTTGTTATCCAATATCTCCTCCTCCGTGCGCTGTTCCTCTTGAACGTACAATACGCCGACTTTCAGTTCCGATTTAATGAACACCTGATCTAGTTTCAGCAATTCGTCTGGAGTATCCGGTAGCTGACCTAATCTTAACGGTGGGTTCACGTTTACTTCTTCGCCTAAGCTGCGAACCACAGCCTCGCGATTGTATCTGCGAAAATCGAGAACCATTTTTTTTTTAAAACACGGTGTCGGATTTATTCGAATTTATGTTTGTATTGAAAGAAACACCACATTTTATGCGTTGAAATTGACGGAAATAATTTAATTTATCATACGGATACGCTTTATAAGTTGGTGACAATTTATTTTGTAAAAGATGATCCGAAGCTTGAGAGGCAAACTGATGTAATTACTCTTTGAAGTTGCTTTGACAGGAGAACGAGGGAAGTTATCGTTCGAACAGGACAAAGTTTATTCTATCTTCCATACACTTAATTCGAAGCGTAGAACTCTGAGCTTGGCTCTACCATGAGGTTCAACCTAATTAGCTGGTAATTACATCTGTAATGAGACTCGGTGTATTATCATTGGTAAGTTACTCTGTTTAGTTTCTAAACTGTGTTACTCCGAACAGTACGTATTGTATATTACACGTGTAGAGCTTAACTTGTACTACTTATTCGACGTTCCGTTAATATAATACTAGCCAACTTTCGAAACTGCTGTCTCGTCGTGTGCATTTCAAATTACTTTTGCGTTCACGACAGTCAACAGATTTCTATGGATTCGAACTTTACACAATTGATATAAATAAATTACAAAATTATCCTTACCGTTATTTGCATACGTTTAATAAATAAAAAATGAAGGAGAAAAATTGTGATTACCTGTCTGCAAATACGCAGCTGGCAGGGATCAGGCCATGCACGGTATAGCTGATGCCTCTGACGAGAATCCTAAACTGATCCCGACCGTTCAGCGTTTCTTGTTTGATGCTGAGTATCACCGGGCCTAGGTCTTCCTCGTTGGTGAAGTAGTTCCAGTGTTCGTTCCCGTAGAAGTATTTCTCGTAGGTCTCCTGCTCGACCGAGGTCAGCTCGAACCCTTGATTCTTCTCCCATTGCTCCTCGATCGTTGTCTTCTTCCTGGGTAACTCGTCGGTGTCTGATTCTACCAGGACTTCGGCCAGATCCGAGTCCGATACCTCCCCGCTCTCGCTTTCATGTAAGGTCGAGTCTGATGTGATATGCTGCCTGGAGCACTCTATCCAGTACCCGGGCGTAGGTATCAAATTGTGCGACTCGCTGCAGAACTCGTCTGCGGAAAAATTTCACGCCCCAGTTAATCCTCATCCGTCCCGCATCGCGCAAAAATTTCTATGTAGGTACCACATGTGTCGAATGACAGTGGTAAAATTCAGTAGCATATACATGTTAAATGAGCAAAGGACTGATCAAGTAATAAAAAATGTTTTGTTTGTAATTTAAAATGTTTAGTGCCACTTTCATATTCCATCTTCTGTTTTTATTTCTTATTCCATAGCTTTATTCTTTCATCAATTCGGATATTGTTTCCATCGATTCTCTTGAGATCAATAATAAACCGAAAGACCATTCGCAAGCGTCACGACGCTTCGAATTCCATTTCCATTGTAATTTCATTTGCCAATATTATTTTCGAACCACTCCAACAGTCTCCTCTTTTTGAAACAACACTCGACATCGAAGGGCATACCAGAAGCTCCACCCTCTGTCATAGCCATCCCTTTGTTCTCCCCAGAGCAACAGCGTCGATCCTTGCCGGAAATCCTTGTCGCGGAAAAATCATTAAGGTCGAATGCAATCGATCCACTATCAATTGATTATCTGTTTCATGGATTTTTCCTTGCTACGCGACCTACTATCCACTTAGGCACGTATTGGAGAGATAATGCGCTTGCACATCGTTCCAATCCATCTTTTTCTCATCGTTCTTCATCGATCCTCTGTTTTTCTCACAGTGTCGACGATACCGCGGTCGATTCACTGTAAGGTAGAACACCAAACTGTTTATACGCAGGCCTGGTATTCAAACTTAAAGTGAACCGGCCACGGTGCGTTCCCTGCTCCCCTCTTGCTCGTTTCCTTGCACGCCTTTCTGCCCCTCTAATCTCGGCTTTCTCCCAGCAGGAACTAATGGCCTGTAGTGCTCCGTAAATTCGATCGTCGATACGAGGCCGACCGTTCCGTTCCAGTTTCACACTCCTACGTGCCACCCCTGGCTACGGCGAGCCGCTTCTTCCCTTAGCGTGGCTCGAATCCACGTTCGAGGATCGCTGGATCCCCCCTTTAGACGGGATAAAATAATGACAGAGGGATGATTCTTGCGAAGATTCCTTCGGGGAGGTATGGCGTTTCGTATCGATTGTCTGTTTTAGGGTTTACTTACAGGGATGAGGGTAGTTCGGTTTTCTTCGTTTCAAACGCAAAATTAGATAAAGCCTCAATGAATGTATTGAACTTAGTCGACGCTGTCACTTCTTGATTGAAGAAAATATCATTTCGTTAAATATACAAAAATGTATAAAAAACGTAATCGTTTATCTGCCGCTGCGTGGATATTGTTAGCCGGCATTCACATTCTCCGAAAGAATATTTGCATCGTACAAAATATTTTAATATCACTACTTCCATGGGTTCGCGTAAAGTTTATTAATTTCATGTACATGCTACGTTGCAGACGTCATTTTACGCTGTAATGAAGATTTAATTATACAGGAATAAATTTGCAAAATATTATATCACGCTGCCACGTGTAAATTCCTGCGAATGCATGGAATATTAAATTTATTCATAATACTGTCTGATTATTTTTGTTTGCCCTGACCCCTGTCCTCCTCGTTGGTCGCGGTAAAATGAACGATAATTGTTTTCGAAACGATCTCGCGTTTCGTTGCTTCCTTGTGAAACAGATATTACGTTTTGTATCCAAGCTCGCATTATTTACCACTGTTTGTGGATTAGCACGTTACAAGTTCTGACGGGAAACATTTCCGCCGATACAACGAATAACTTGGACACGCGAAACGCGTGGAACACGTTCAATTAAGTAGCCCCGGTGCATGCAAACCATGTTCGTTTGCTCGGATAATTCGAGGATGCAAAACTCCGCTACACACCTTCGTGTCTCCTCAAATATTTCCAGAGATATCAGTCGCAATGCGTCATTAAATTAAAATGTATTTACTCATATCAATGAATTTAAATATGCTTCCCTGCATATAAATCCGTGCTCGCGCGTTGAACTTTCAATTAAATTTTACCTTCTCAGTTCAATATACATTTATTTAAATACGGTTTCAGGTTTATTAAATCATGTTTTGTAAGAGAAACTTGTGAAATGTATTAAGTGGAACTAAATTGCAACACTTGTGCGTGAAGCAAATTATAAATGTTCAGAGAGATTTGTTATTATCAAAAAATAAAAGATTTATATTTGGTCAATTAGTCTCACTGACAAATCGCAGTTCGTTCATTCCAACCGGAAATACATATCACGACGCCCAGAATTCTTTGTCAGGCAAAAGTTCGGTCTAATTTGGGATGGTCGATTTTGATTTGAAACACAAACCGGGGTATGCAAAGGCGTATAATCCGAGACACAGGGGGAACCACCTGTAGAGCCCCGACTCATACATATGTACGGTGGTAAAAGTTCGCGACCGAAGTTTCTTCCGTTTTCCGCTTCCTTCCACTGTTCTCCGCTCCCTTAACACTTCGTTCATGTGAGAGACTCCGTTAGACTATATTCATACTCCTGTTACCCTTCGGTGATTGCCACGAGTACTCGCCGATCGATAGATAAAGAAATTATGCACTTTCTAAACAAGCGCTTCAATTATATTATCGAGAGTTAAGACGTTGGAGCATCGAGAATAAACAGACGTAAAACAGGATAAAATCAAGTATAAAATATTTTGTGGAAGGAAGAAGATAATTAACTAAGGTGAGGATATGAACAGAATTATTAATTGATAGATCGTACCTGAACAAGCTTGGGGTGGTCGGGGGAAGATCAAGGTAGTCGATGATTTTCTTCGGGCAACCGCGCAGCCTAAGCTTTGTGGTTTGAAGCTGCGCAACTGCTGCATGAAGTCCGAGCACTCCATCAGCGCCACGTCAGCGAAGTGTAGATCGCAAAGTATTTGGTTCTTGAACCTATGGGACAGAGGGATAGATTGATGATCCCTCGCGTAAGCATGCTCCGACGAGTTGCCGTTAGCTCGTAGACAGACTTTTTTTGATTAATGAGACCTAAAAGGGCTCGTGTTCAACTTTCCTCTCTAATCTATCAGACAGCCCCTTGGTTCGAAACTTAATTCGCACGTATCTAATTTTTATCTTTATGCAATTTCTTGGAACTAACGTTATTTCAAATAAATTATTATATCAAAGTAAAGATATCCATGATTTCTTTCGATTAAATAGCTTTTTTGTTGATATTTTATTTCGTTACTCACCGTCTGGCCCGTTTTTGGTTGGGTCCCGAGAGATTCAGGGAGCAGCTGTTACATCTTAGACACTCTTCATGGTAGTGATTGTTGTCGTATATCGGTGTTGGTTCTTGAAATAGCAAATATGTCGAATCAGTGCAAACGTAGTTGATTAGTCGATCGCTCAACTCTGCACTTCACAATATTTTAATATAAATAACAATGTTCCTTTATGTATTACGATGGAACTAATAAAATATATCACTATCATTCAATCCTTTATTTTTCATTGAATAACAAACAGTTTCTAATACATGTAGATGTTAGAATAAAATCACCAAGGATACGCTTACACCTGTTGCTCTATAATATCATGTCGGAAATATCAACGTTCTTATGAGACAATAAATTGTACCAGCTCTAATGAAATAATAAATAGTAATGCAGTTCTTATAAAACGAATCTAGAGATCGGAACAAGAAATCGCAACGTGAATGCGAGCAGATAATTTAAGTTTTATTTTTAGATAAGTTACGAGTTAAACGACGTTTTTATGTGAATAGAGTTTTACACGTTGGCGAGCGAGTTTTCTCATAAGAAGCTCAGGGAAATAAAATTATTGCGATAGTTCGAAAAGAAGAAAAGTTACAAAAACTGCTACTGAAAAATGAAAAGGAAGTTAGTGGAAGTCGTCTTTAAAATTCATCAACAGTCTCCAATCGCTGTGCTTCAAAATGTTGCCCTTTAACGCTTTCCCGTCGATAATAAAGAAGTTACATCGGCGAAGCAACGAAAGAAATTATAAAATTAGTAGGAGCTCCTATAAAACGAATTTACACCGGTTAGTTCAAAATCAATAGACCACCTCGTTGCCAGTATTAGATTTATTAAATTTCGATCACGACTTGTCAGAATTATTAGATATTAATTGTACTTGATCTTTGCTTTACGATATAAAATTATCGAATACTCGGTCAATATTCAAAACTAATTAGAAATAATTAATAGTAAACAAGAATCTAAGTGCGTATTGTTTCTGAAAATTTTATGCGTTTGAATTTCGCTGACAATCATTATCCCGTTTCCCGTAACCCAATTAATTCACCACTTTCATTAATCCTTTTTCAATCCGAGCATCGCCATCCTGCTCGAAGGAATATTTCCGCAAACTTTCCTCCTTAAAACTTCATTCTTCATAAAAGTCTACGAAGCAGCGCAGCATCGTTCTTTTAAAATAGCTCGGAAAGCTCCAGTTTCATTTTTATGCATTTAGGTGTTATTCTTTAAAATGAAACACACGACGTGTTCCATTCTCCTTCTTTACTTTAAACACCAATAACGTTCCTTGTATACGTATAAGAAATTAGCTTGTCTCGTGCAAAATTCAAACAGTAGTTCTCAGGTGTTAAATCTTAGCTGACCCGAATAAAACCCGACTTTACCCTAACGACCAGTCGTTGCAGGGGTGTGGTTCCCTGTTTTTCCCTCTCTCATTCTCCCGTGACGGCGCCGTGGGTGTCGTAAAGAATTCCAGCGCGTGCCGAGTGGAATTTTGATATCGCGAGGAAACGGAAAAAAAGGAGGTGAGGCCGGTCGTCGCGGCGCCGGGATCGAGGCGCGCTTTCCGTGATCAACGAAACGTCTAATTACACATACGTGCATGCATATGCACATACGTACGAGTGCACGCAAGCGAACTCGAGGTAAGATATCCCCGACGGGGCAGTGACCAGGAATTTACATCTCCATAACAATCGTGCAGTAATTTCCGTCATTGATAAGAATACCAGATAGGTTTTTTAATGTTGGAAATCTCGGTCGATTTTATTGGGAACACCGTAGCCATAATGGTAGGACAACAGAATACAAAAATAACAGTAAGGATAATAAATGGTAACAACATTTTACAGAAGAAAATTTGAAATGGATGTAATTTATTTTCTAAAATGGCAAATTTTAACAAATGTGAAAACCGTTTAAAACCTTGTTAGTCAACTTAAAGTGAATCTGGGGGAAAAAACATTTCATTTCTATTACTGGAACAAAGACAGCGTGGAGCGAAAACAATCTTTTTTTAGCTAGACGAAGGCAAATGAAATAAAGCAGATTTTCCATTTTAATTGGCGGTATTTACATAACAGTGTACAAATCTCTTTCATATTTCATATCTTGCACACGATTAGATCCACAAAGCGAGATTGAAACGTCTGTGCGAATAAACGTTTTGAAGGTTTTAAAAATAAAACGGTTTCTCGGATTGAACTAAAAAAAGGGATCACTCCAAGAGATGAAATATATATTGCGCCAGATTAGATTTCATCTAAGTGAGAGGGCGAGTGCATTATACGCGGAGCGAAAATAGAGCTATCAAGATTACAAATTACACCGCGCCGTACAATTAACAGAAAATTCGCTTTGGGAGAAAAAAAGTAGACGCGGGAATATCGCGCGAGATACAAGATCCGTTTAACTTTATACCACGATCCACTAAACTGGAATCCAATAATATCGCGCCCCGGGAGCAGATCGCTCGAAACAGGAAACGTTTCCCTCGAACTGGAAAAAGGTGCCGTGCGGCGTACTAGACGGGACACAGGAAATTGTGGATGCATAAGCTGAAGAGAAATTCGAACCTCGCCGTTGTTTAATCGATATCACTGCCACAGGAACAAAATTAAGTATTTTACGCAATTCTGTTCCTCGCTTTATCTGTCCGTCCACCTCTTGCCTCAGAGTACACTCACACACAAACACGCGCGCGCGTGGAAATGCCACACTGTGACACCCACACGAACCTATTTAAGGGTTAATGCTCTCGTAAGCAGGAAGCGAACTTTACGTGCCGATTCACAACGGTGATGAACGAGATAAAGTTCGAGGCTTGTGTAAAAGACGCGTGATGAAACCCGTTTAATTAAGGAATACATCCGCCGGGTATAATAAACCGTGAAACTCGTCGGGACGGTCCGCAGGGAGGCGAAACAATTTTAATATTGCTTGCGGATATTTGTCGTATCTCCGAGTCACAATTCAATTTGAAAATCTTGTAGGGATGGTCATTCGATACGAGATTGATTTACGCGTCCAATAAAAACAATAAACGTTAACACAGAGTTTAATGGATTATTGTTTTGCGGAAAAACTGTTTTGGAAATTATCAAATGACTATTTTTAGATGACGTCTAATTATAGTATGTATTATCTTAGTTAGCAAGTTAATAAACCAGGCTCTACTTTCGGACCATTTAACACCATATTTTTCCACTTGAACGATCAACGATCGCGAGAATATATCAACGCTTTATTGACTCCATCAAACTGGCGTCGAACTACTTGTTGACATTAAATTAACCCAGACCAGTAGCCCCAGTACCAAATCCCCGCAGCCCCTCCGGTTTTAAGTCCTGCGCGCTTAGACTTAAACCAAAGCCAGAAGGAAAACCTCGCCGGACAGGAATTTCTCGTTAGATTACATTAAACAGTTTTGGAAAGCGCGGGGGAAAGAAAAGGGAAACGAGGAGACGGAGAAAAAGAAATTACAAGGGCAAATGCTCGCGCGTGGTAAGCTCGGCTTTATCGGCGCTTTAGCCTCTCTGCTCCGGTTTCCAACTCGCGCGGAACCAACAAGCATCCGGCTTATCTCGCTGAAAGTGGGCTCTCTGTCGCGGCTCGTAAAGGGAAAAGAGAGAAGTGAAAAGAAGAAAAGAGAACCAAGGGATGTCGGCATGAAAAGGGAAACGGCTGGATTATTCTCCGCCCTCTGTGCGATTTCTGTGGGAGACGCAATTAAAACCGAGGAACACAATCACCCGTGAATTCGCGTTTGATTTTACAGATGATTCAAAATCCAACGTAATCCGTAATAACGATAAGTATGACTAAAAGATATTAACTTCTGATATTTGTACGGGATATTAAATGAAGAAGATTGCTTGATTGAATGATTCAGATAAAAGAATTTTTGAACAGCATTCAAATAACTCTTACGGGTTAATAACGTTCCTTTTGAGGAACATATAATGTAAAAACTATTTGTATGCTGCGTAAAAATATAAATAAAAATTATGTTCCCGTATTTCCGAATCCATTCCAAAGTTTTGTTCTCACTCCCTGATCTTTGTCCCTCGACGATTTTCCGAACACACTTTAACTTCTGAAACTCCATCTACGATTCTTTTCTTCAAATTTCTTTTGAAACTTCTGTTCAAAAATTTTCCCGACTCGGGATCCTTTTCCCGTAGATTTCTGCCACGATCCTTCTTTGGAACGTGACTGTAAAATTCCGCTAGCCGACTTTATTTCTCAACTGCGCTCCTAAGATCTTCCTCTTTCTCTCCACTCCATCTCTATACCTTCGTACCATTCGTTCCTTAAGGATGTATTGGCTATACAGTCAATCCCAAAAGTTTATGTGCCTCAGAAAAACGCATTTCCTATAATTAAAAAGAAATCAGACGTCAGAAAAATAATGCTAATAATAAATAGCTACGTGCTAAAAAGTATAGAAGGAAATATCCAATTAAGTATTGACGCTGACGAAAATTTTTTTTTTCAAAATTGCGAAGAATGCTTCAAATAAAAGTTGTTTTCCTTCTAATTTCGATATTTCACGAGTTACGTATGATTATTTGGCATTTTATTGATGTTGACGATATCCGACCATTCCACGGTCGAAACGGCGATCTTTTGGCAAAAAATTTAGTTTTTGGCCAATAACTCCCAAACCTTTGGACATACGGAAAAATTGCATATGACCTTTTTTGTAGAGGACGACGAGATCTACAATTTCCGTGTAAAAATTTTTCTCTAGCGCTAATAGTTAATTAGTTATTGACGAAAAACGAAAAAACAGTTTTTTGCAAATTACTCGTTAACTATTGACGCTAGCGAAAAATTTTTATACAGAAATTGTAGATCTCGTCGTCCTCTACAAAAAAGGTCATATGCAATTTTTCCGTATGTCCAAAGGTTTGGGAGTTATTGGCCAAAAACTAAATTTTTTGCCAAAAGATCGCCGTTTCGACCGTGGAATGGTCGGATATCGTCAACATCAATAAAATGCCAAATAATCATACGTAACTCGTGAAATATCGAAATTAGAAGGAAAACAACTTTTATTTGAAGCATTCT